TTGTTCCCAGAAGATGAGGTAATTTAGTAAAATAATAAAGCTCCCATTAAACAAACCCTGTAATAGAACTGAGCCTTAGCGGCTGCAAAGGAAGGAAACTGTAACTTCTGTCAAAGCACAGAGATGAGATTAGCGTTAATAAAGCATTCCTCACAAAGCAGAGTGATAGTATATGGGAGAAGGCACATCCAAATAACTCTCATTTCCACAGTGTTTCCTCTCAGATATGGGCTTTTTAATTAGCCATCGGAAAGAAAACTGAAAGTGTACTTTCTCCTTCTCAGTTTCTCCCTGACTATTAATCTCTGTGCTGAAAACAGTGCCACCAGTCCATCTTATTGTTATTAGGTAGTGGAGACATAAAAGAACTACATTCATCGTTCTTATCGCAGCCCAGAGGTATTTCCTTTGTGTTATGAGGAGTATTTTGATTAGTTTTGGCTGTGTCTGCAGGGAAGACACTGTTTACATTTTCCACAGCTAAAATAATTTCTAGAAATATAAAAGTTCGTTCCAGCACTCACCAATATTTATTGGTGGGCTTTAATTGCTGAGAGGTTTCATTGCTGTGCCACAGCTGTTTGTTTTTTAACTCCTCTTGATTTCATGACTACATTGACAGTGGATTGTTCCTGGAGTGGGCTGCTGATTTTTAATGAATCATTTGTTTGATTCATCAAGGATGAAACTTTTGTCCCCCGTGAATGCATTATCCATTGACAGATGTGGATAATCACACATTTGCAGAGCCACAGAGGTCTTCCCTTGGGAAGGACCTCAGAGGGATAACAAATCCGTTTTTTCCTATGTCTTGCCTTCTCCTAGGGTGTTTAACCTCCTTTTAAGAGCACAGGCAATGGCAATTCTCCAGTTTTCTCTGGTGGATCTTTAACATTGCCTGTACCTTTCATCTGCCAACAGAGACAAAATATTCCTTTTCTCTTTGCAGCAGCCTAATTTGTATATTTGAAGCCCATTACCTGAAGACCCACTTACTTTTTCCTTCATTTGATGAGTCAGCCTTGAAATAGTTTCATTTCAGACAATGCAGCAGGTGAGACTTGAGCCCACATGGCAGTTTTAGGTAGTTGCCACTGCCAGATGTTCTCACTCCTGCTTGTGCTCCATGTTCTCCTGCAGCCAGGATGGTACCAGGGAACCACTCACAGTGTTGTGCTGGGCAGGAGCTGCTCTGCCAACCCCATTTCCTATACACAGGCAGACAAGCAGTTTGTGGCACTTTGGCCTTCCAGTAGGAAAAGCTCCCTGGCAAACCGGTCACAGCAATTCAGGATGACATAGCTCTGTGGTTCCCTATGGCTTTTTACCACATGGAGGGGAAAGGAAAGAGTAATGTTCTCCTTCGCCTGAAATAAGATATGATGGCTGGGCTGACAGCCCCCGGGTAAGAGCCATGACAGCACCCAAAGCCCAAAAGAAAGTTTGCAAGAAACACTGTTGCTCACATGTCCCTAAAGTCTCATCAGAGAGAGACGGGGAAAAAAAAAATACAGTGCTTCACAGGTATGCAGGTTTTGCTTGAGGGAGCTGATGGGAAACATAACCCACTTTTGGGTATAACAGGAGTAGCACACTCACATTTACCCTTTTCTTCTTGAGGCTGCTAATTTTGCATACTGAATTAGCTGAGGAAACCAGATTTTAAAAAATCAAGTGCTGGCAAAGTTCCTGCTGACTCAAGGAAACTTGGGACTGCATTCTACTTTGGTTTATCTTTTGTTTCAGTCACGAACTTGAAGGGAGCAGAAGGTTTAGGAGTGCTAACTGGGGATCATCAAAAGTCCCTAAGTTTAATGATAACCTATATTATTTTGCATGTGGAAAATGAAAGGGAAAAAAAAAAGAAAAACAAGCAACAATGTAAATGGCCCCCTGATTCATGGATTCCTGTCACTTTGGACATTTCCTACTCTGGCAGACTATGAATACAGCTGCAGATGAAGGATCAGGGTACACTTCACTGTAATATGTTTTCTGGCACTGTTATTAAGCCATCCAAGTGCTTTTACTCTAATAGCATCCAAGTTGCTATTACTCTAAACCATACAGGTCAGGGATAGGCTTACGTACAGCAGGCCCAGGACAGCTTTACTCTCCTACCTGAGCCATTGTAACATCTCACAAGGGGTAGCAGCCAGACACGACCAACAGAGATGAAACTTGCTGCACCTCAGGGCTGTGGAGGCAACTGTCAGCACCCAGGGCTGACACTGGCACCCAGGAACTCAGCCACCGGGTGCCTGAACCACCCACTGCTTCCCTTTGTCACCCTATATCTCCAGTCTCCATTGGATATTCAAGAACAATGCTCCTGATGTAAAGGCACGTAGATACTGTGAGCTAACCCTGTATTTGTGGAAGTTCTGGAGCAGATTCCTTCCACTGTTATAGCATATGCCTCAGAAAAGTCTTTGTCTACTGAAGAAATCTCCCTGTGCCCTACGATCAAGGGAGCAATAAAAAAAGGTATCTAAACAATGTGACAACAGTGCATAGTCGGCAGTGCTTGAAATCAAAACAAAGCCTTCAGGGAGCAAAACAAGCTTCCCATTCTGGAAAAATTCCTGATCTCCAGTTTCCCAAAATGCCATGGCAAAACATTATTATCTTGGATCTTCCTGTCTCTAGCATGTGTCATTGAAATGGCCCGAATGAAGTTGCTATTTGTAGTGTGTAGCTCATGCAAAGCCTCTATCAATGAAGCCACTTAATCGCTCTTCTTTGGGATATTACGCAATTGGCTCTTCTGTAGTAGTTCTTGTCAAGGCTGAGATCTCATGACTCACTGTCATGAGGGAGGCTTCTCCTTCCTGTCAGCCATAATCATAATCCACTCACTCTTGAGTCTCTGCTTGCTCCTGCGGAGGGGAAGACACCTCCTGACTTTGTTGCTAGCTTCAGGAATGCACCAGAAATGATTGTATTCAAATGAGGATAGAAAGGTAAGGCTCCTATAAGAAACTGCAGGATGGGGGTAGTGGTAGACAAAATTCCTTATGCTGTTCATTAATATTGAGTCATTTATCAAATAACTGTTTGGGAAGTATTGCTACAGTTCAACTGGGAAAGTCTATAGCCAATGTTGTATTTCTAACAGATGCTAAAGTAGTACCAGATAGCATTGTCACCCAGAGAGTTGCCTCTTGCATCATTCGTAAATTTAACCCTTACCAGAGGCTACCTCAGGCTTGAGCCATTCTGACATGAAACCTCACTGAGAAGCCCTGTTCATAAGTGCATGGTTCTACCCATTCCTCCCCTTTAGTGTAAAGCAGGTGTTTTAAGCTCTGTGAATGTAAAAAGTGTGTTTCTAAATGAAGGCTGGTATGAACAATCTCCCTTAAAATCTAGAAAATTAGTTGTTCAGTTGATTCCATTATTAAACTTTCTGTCCAACAACACACTGCTAAAATTCAGATGCTCACTTCAATTCATGTTAAAGGTATTTAGATTTGAAGGTACTTAACATGTTGGATATAATAATAACAACACTTTTAAAAAAAAGCAGACGAGCTGCCTTATACTGCATTTTTGGGAGGTGTCTGTAAGTGGCAGCTGTCAGGAATGGGATGTGAGGTGAGGGAGGTCTTCGAGGGCTCAGCCTAGCATTTCTTTTCTTGCTGCAGATTTTTCAGGTCTCTCTTTCTCCATACTCTACCGTCTTTCTCTTTTTACCTTTTTTCCTTCTAGCTCCAGCGGAGTCCCTCTCCTCCTTGCTAGGCACTGAGGCTGTGTACTGCCTCCCACACTCCATCTGAAGCACAGTATATTGGGTTATAAGCCATCTAGCAAAGGGTGTTCACTTCAGGTGGGCAGTCAAGCTGAAACACAGCTTCTGGAGATTTGCTGCTTTGGTTATACCAAATTTTGTGACAGCTCATGAGGTCTGCTCCATCATGGCTGCTTCCTGCTGGCCCAGCAGCTTCAGTAAGACAAAGGGAATAGTAGTTTTACCTGTGAAGCTACCAAAGCAGCTTTCATCTCTTGCTCTGTCAATGTTTGCTGGCTCTGCCAGCTACCAGAGCTTTTTCCACTGCATACCTATAGAAAAAAAAGTCCAGAATTTTTTTTTATAGGGTTGACCCAATCTGTCAGTCCAAGAACCACTTTTACAAGATGCGCGTGATGCACACCCACCTCAGTGGTGGTGGAACAGAGCCCAGCAAAGCTCTGCAGGGTGCAGATGAAACATTCCCTGGCTCACAGTGAGACAAAAAGGTGATAAACAGCAGCACCTGGGGAACATTCCCCTTCCCACCTACCACCACCACCTTCTCCCTCTTGAAAACACAAACAAGTCAATCCAATTTGCATTTTCGTAGCTGGGAGTGATTGCTAGATTAATGAGCACTGCTATTTATATCTAAATAATCATAGTCCTAAACAACTACTTGGAGGCATCAGTAGGGAAGGCATGTTTCTGGGCAATGATTTTATGAGGTTTGGGCAGCACTTGACATCAGACGGAGGAAAACACGTCTGAATTACAAAAAAAATGTTTTACCACATTTTGGACAAACTAAGGGAAACTGGAAGAAGAAAGTTATGCTAGCAGTGTATGCAGACTTGGCTTGCTTACCAGAGTATGCTGGCCTTAACACTGTTCAGAGGAAATACTTTCTCTAAGCAGCTTCCTTTAACCATCTTAGTTGCCACAACCCTGCTTGGGGCTTCAGCATTATGCTGTACTGCCCAGATACATAGGGTACCCATCATTGTTCCTCCCAGGCCAGAGTGTGTGAAGAGCCCTTGCAAGCCAGCTCTGCCCTTGCTGCCTTTGGCTGAGTTTCTGCAAAGAGATTCTCTCAGCTTAGCGTGGAGCTTGCAAAGCCACTTAAATCTCTCTGACCCCTTAATGAAGTTTTTAAAAGGGCTTCATAAATCTTCATCACTAAGAACTGCTTAAAGCCCTGCAGGGTTTCTCTAGTGGCACTAACAACTAGAACAAGTAGACAGGCTCAGGTATATTTATTGCATTCATCTTCATTATTCCATGGGTTTTCCTTCCTTATAGTCTTTTACACAAGCTGCAGCCGGGAAAGGGAGCTCAGGAGTGGGAGCTCTGATTCAACACTGACATGTCGGATCAGTCCTCTTCTTGGGAATGTTTTCTGTGCAGGCAGAACTGTATGTTTGTCATTTATCCTTCCTTATTTAAATCACCATGTTGTTCTTCATTTGGGAAAGAACCTCATTTTTGCCTTTCCTGTGAAAACATACCGCAGGTCACAACCTGACAGCTCCAAAATGGATTAGTTGTCTGCCTGCCCTTCTGGTTTTTTTTTCTTGGAATTTTGGCTGACTTTGGTAATGGCTTTTTACGAGTAGCATCAGTATTCTCTGAAATAACTTGCAGCTTGATGGATATGTAAGGATTTCTAGGAAAATACATTGTTTTTTAAAATTTTTTTTGCATGCCATATATCACGCTCTCCAGAGTGTGTAGATTCTGTATATTCCATGCAGGTTGTTTGGTGCTTTACCTCTGTGAAGTGAGGACAGAAAAGGCATGAAGGAGGTTAACAGATAAACAGAAAAATACTCCAGTGCAGGTAAAGTCCCTGAAATCAGTGAGACCCTTTGAAGAAATAGTTCCAAGGCTAATTCTGTAGACAATGGACTAAAGCTCTATTGAGTTCTTAAAGGATTGGAGGTCTTTGTAGTCCAGCCAAGCTTGGGCTACTCCATTCCATCACAAAATCATGCTTTTGTGAGCTAGATGATTTTCAAGGTTGACTTTTAATTTGGCATTTTGTTTATGACATGAGGATACAGTAGAGTGCCATGGAAGTGCTCCTTTAGAGCCATGGCAATGTTATATTATTTTAAATTTATTTGCATTACAAGAAGGTCTGCAAACCTCAGGGAGGACTGGAACAGTGCACATGGAGCAGAAGAGAAGTCATGTGCTTGTGCAGGCAAACAAGGTCTTCTTACTGAAAAGTTTGACACTGAAGTCTTAAATCTGCCAGAAGTGCCAGTCATCATGATTAACAAAATCATCCAGTTTCCCAGTCTAGGTCAAGACTGGCAGGAAAAATAAAGGCTTATGAACATGGTGGAGGCTCAAAAGCCAGACTGTGATGTGTATGTAAGGTAGGTTACCTGAGGCATTAAAGGAGATCTCCAAACTCACTTGAATTGGTGTTTCTTCCATTGACTTCAGTGGATTCTAGACGATATCATGCTGTGATGCTGTCACATGTGAACCAGTCAGATAATTGGTTTTAATATAGGAAACTGTAGGATGGGTTATGTGATGCACCGTTTTGTCTGCTCTACAATGCATTGGTAAATAACTATTGTGCTAGGGACACACTTTTACCCTAATGGGTATAAGATTAGATATTATCTGACTTTCCCTATGCTTAAAGGCTATGCAAGTTCACCCAAGTGCTTACACAGGTGTTAACAAAAATTCAAATTGGGCTGTAGCTTTCAAGTCCTCAAAAGACAAAAAGCACAGGCAGGGGACTGAAGAAGTCAAAGGGCCGCCATAGCCTGAGGTCCATAAAACGTCAGGAAGTTGGAGAGATAAGAAAGAAGATTTTGGCAAGTGACTCATGGCCTGTGCTTTAAGAAAAGATGGAAGAATCCAAAATGACCTGGCAGAACTTCTTACTCAGTCCTGAGTCACATAGGCAGCTTGATCCTTTGCATGTAAGCAAAACATTTAAAGCTGTGAGCCTAGGTGGTTTCTGTCCTGTGTCCAAGGCATTGTCACTGACCATATGCCTGCTCCTAACCCTGTCCATTTAAGCCTTCTCCTGACTGAAAGTTAGCCATGTAAACGTCTTTAAGCCTCATGAGTCAGCTGAGGCTTCACTTGCACTGTGTTTTCCAGTGATATAGCTCACATGACTGCAAATCACTAATGTAAATGAACCAGGCTGGGGTAGGAAAGTAACACTGGTCCAGCACTTCTGCACTAGGAATTTGGAGCAGAGATGCCTTATGGCTATGAAAACAGACAGGAAAGGCAAAGTTTAAGTTCATAGTGTGAACCATCATACCATAGTCCCATGATACACTGCCTTTGGCAGCTAAGCTGCTGCAACCAGCTCCTGCCCCAGATGTTTGTTTCCACCTCCGGCCTGCAGTTTGTCACCTCCTCAGTCATGCCAAAACAACTGTGTGTACAGCAGTGCTAAAATCAGCACACTGAGGTGATGGAAGTTAAAAATAAACTCTTTGTGGGAGGAAAAGAGGGAGAGCTATTTTTGATTGTAATAATTTCAATGGTCTTTCTTCCAGTGTGGGCTCATAAGGAATTTCATTAACACAACTGGGAGAAGACAGTGGATTGCTGCACTGGCTGGCACTGGAGTGACTCCTCCAGGCAGAAGATTCCTTCCTGGCAGAGGGAGAAGATTTTTTTAAGCAAGGATTGCATCAAGGCCAATGTGCTATAGAATTGTACCTTCCAATATGCAGAATTATGTCTTCCCTGCCTGGTACAAAACCAGACTCGGGTATCCCAGGCTCTCCATTTGCTATTCTGTCTCCTAGATTGTCTTAGCATTCATTTTAAAAATTATTGTATGCAAGCCAGCATTACTACTAACAAAAACAAATAAAGAGACACTGAGGTTTTTTCCTGTTTTATAAACAAATACCCCTTATAATCATTCTGAATACTAGCCTCCTCCACAATTTGTTATAGTATGGTTAGATGTCACCCATTAAAGTCTATTCAAAATGCACAGTAAACTGAGCATAAAAAACATCAGAAGAGATTTAAAAAATGTTTTATTTAATAAAGTTCATTACATGATCAAGAAATGAAATACTTATATGTTCCTTAAACAGCATTAAAAGTTTAAGGAAAAACATCTGAAAAGGGTTCAAAATGTTGCAGTGTAGCTACAATCTGGAAATTCACAGAATAATTCAGCAACTTACTTTTGTTTTGGCCTTGGTCATTTCTGTGCTTTGATGAGCTTCTCTGTGAACAAGTAAGTAATATGTGCAAAGCCTTGGTTATCTCTTATGTTCAGGCATCTCAGTGATTCGCTTCTGTTTGAACAGGAAACACATCTACTTGCATCCAAATGCTTCTGCACCATTGAAGCCTGTAAAATATAGACAGCTTTCACACTGCTGTCCTCTTTTAAAATAAGTACTTTTTTGTGTGTGTGTTTTCATGTTTTTCTATGATATTGAGTGAGTTTCAAAGCTCTTCTCAGGAAAATGGGGCAGTAGTTTAACTTCCAGCACACAGGAAAATGAAGTAGTATCCTGAGTCCCACACCAATGCATCCTTCTTTGGGACTCATGATCCATGTGCTGGATCACACCAGTCTCTGGGTGCTTGGGTGTATGGGCAGGATTCAAATTGAAATTACTAGGGTCTGAGTATGTTTAGTATATCCTTCAATTCTCTTTTAATAAAGAGAACCAAGGGCATAGTGACTCAGTTTTGTATTTAGATGATATAATTGTCTCATGAACTCTGTACAAATTACCTCTTCTCTGTATTGTTTTTGCAGTGCATTGTTTTGCTTGAATAATATGGCTCATATCCAGTGAATATTGCAGTCAATAAAGTACCTTGGTTTATAGTTTGATGGCCCACAAATGAATAACTGACATCAACAAGAATAATTAAGTCACTGCCCTTTTTAGCACCATCAGTACTCTTCATTTAGAACACTAAATTTTTTTTTAATTATTAACACATTTCCTTAAAAGCTTATTTTTGTGGGGTTTTTTATTACCAAGAGGTAACCACAGATGAACTGTTTTGCTCAGCTTTCAATGAATTTGTGATTCTAAGGTTGACATTAGAGTGTAATGATGTAAAGAAAATTGCATTTTACTGCATTCTAATTAAACAGGTAAACTTGTTGTAGGCCTTTCTCCAGCAAAAGTTCCATAGGAGTCTGGTCCTTCATCAATAGATTTTATTTTCTTCTTGAGCTTTGCACAGCAGGTTTCTGTCTTCCAAATACAGGACTGATACAATAATTTAATCTGTTAAACAGCGTATTTTTGACATTCAGACTGACAGATACGGGAAGTATCACAGTCCTGAGTAACATAAAGGATATGCATTGTTATTCCTCTTAGTAAAGTGTAATTCTAGGTGTACTGGATTCTGCTTTTATGCAAAGAGTTGGATTGGTCCAAGGTAGCCTGTGAGCCAACCAGAGCCACTGAAACCCCATGGGTTTGTTGGCCATAGCTTTGTGCCTGCTTTGGGGGCATGGACCCAAGACAGCACTTCTTCCTTGTGTTGAGGAAGAGCACATTTGGGGGCTGTGTTGTCACCTGGGCCCTGCTGCCGTCCAGGGATGCAGGGACTGAGTTGTCCAAGCAGCAAGGACAATGGTGGGTCCTTCTCTCCTTGTATTGCATCTGGGCAATGGCACTCCCCCTTGTTACTGCAGCTCTTGCTGAATCCAAACTTGTATTTTTTCAGTTCACTTAGCTACAGTCACAGAGCCCTGGATAGGACTGTCCCCATCACTCTCCCCCTTCCCATCCACTTAATATTTTTCTCCAATTCTACCCTCAATCATAACAAAATGTTTAACATATCCTACTTTCACTGTAATAATGCTGGCTAGATCCAAAAGGCCCAGACGACGTGAAGAACTCACCCAAAAATACTCACATCAGCATTCAGCCAAGCTCTTGTAGGGTTTGTCCTGCTGACTTGGTCCAATCCTGGTTAATTCATAGGGCTTCCTTTTCCAGTTGAGCTTTAATTGTTTGCTTTCCAGTTCTCTCCATGGGCTCAACCTAGTCAGCTCCATGCTCCACAAGTCCAAATGCTGAGCTACAGTTAGCATATTTCAGTATAGAATATTTTTACCCTTCCAGTAGCTACAGGTCACAATCATTACTTTCTCCTATCTACACTTATTAAAGGAAACACTTGTGAAAGATATGTCACCTTCTGGACCTCAGAGGTACATGTAGTTCCAAGCAGGCACAAGAAAAACATGTTTTCTCCATTTCTTGCAAGCAGAAATTAGGTTAATTTCTTTGGTAAACTCCTTCTAAAGGAAACATCATTCAACAATTCTGTTGAAGTTATCAAAAGCAAAACCAAATTCATTTGAAAACAGCTCAGATCACAGATAGAGTTTGTGAGATGAGTAGGAACTGTTCTCATAGGTAGTAAGAACTAAAATAAGAGTATAGCATTAATTCTCATTTTAGGCTGAATTATACTCCTCTCCAGTTCCATGAGTGAAATATCTTGGAACTTATTCATGTTAGACTCTACCTTTTCCAGAAAAAAAAAGTTTTAAACTTTCAACCCAGAGTACAGACAGCAGTTTCAGCCAGTTCAGGGGTTGTTGCTTTCCCTATGTCCTGCTGTCCAAGCAGAAAACAAAAGTTTTGCTGTAGTTTCTGGTAGCTAAGCAGGGATCAGGAGCTGAGGTTCTTGGCTTCTGGTTCAGGCATGACAGACCTTTCCTACCTACCCAGGTGTAAGCCTGTTACCAAAATGAAAGAGAGAGGAAAATGCAAACCACTTTGTCTGCCTTCTCAAGATGAACCTTGTTGCTAATTTGATTCCAAGTTGATTTTCTTTAAAGAGTGAAATAATTCAAAAAACAGCACAAAAACTTTATTTTGGATAAAATGAAACATTTTGATTGATATGAGCTTTCTTGGAGGCAAATAGTCTGGCTTAGTATAGAAGATGAAACACTTTAAGTAGTGCTACATAAAGCTATTGTCACTACAGCCCAGCTGGAGATCTGTGGGGAGTGGTACTGCATAGGGTGTCACATATGGGGTGCTTGGAGGAAAGCCGAAAGTAGCTAGGGAAAAGTTTTCATCTCCCAGCACTCCCAGGCTCTGACAGTCCCACCTCTGTTGGATTTATCTGTGGCACCAAGAGATGCCACTGGTGTCAGTGCTCACTGTTGTCCTTTCTGCTGGGGTCACTGGCCCCCGGAAGCAAACACAATGTAAGTTTATAAGGGTGTACTGGCCACAGAGCTGGATCTGCCATCTTTAGTGTCCATGCAACAGCATGACATCTGCATCATAAAGAGGTGCTGTTAAACCTGACAGAGCCTGACATAAATCACAGAGAGCATCTACATTACCTTTACTATTAAGTTCATTACAGGAACTATGGTAGCTGCTGAGTTAGGGCTGATTGGGTTTGTTTGGGACCAACAGCTTCCGAGCTGTGACAGCAGAAAACTTGGCATTAGCTGACCAAATATGCATCTGGAGTTTTTAACAGAATCTGCTTAAAGCCAGCTTAGTTAAGTTAAAACCATGACTTGAAGGGCCAAGTGGCAATTCTTGTTGTGAACTTCAGAATGGATCCATTAGCAAGGTTTATTGCTTCAAGAGGAATTTCCATGGAGGTCTGTGGCACTGGCTCTTCATGCTTAAGTCATCGTGGGACAAATTCCAGCTGAATGAGCAGCCTCAGACATTTTTAGTATCTGGAGAAATGAGCAGAGACACAGAAGCAGGGCTTCTTTGTAAGCCCTGTTTCACATGCACTATCAACAAAAACAGCCTGCAGTAACATCACAATGCAAATGCACTGCTGCAAAACAAATAATACATGTGAATTTATAGTAACACTGGGTTGTTTCTTTGGGTTTTTTCTTTTTGTTTTTGCATTATTTCACAGGTGAATATTAAAGTTGTGCGTGGCTAAACTTATGTTTGATGGTCACTGGCAAATGCTAAAAGCATGATCCACATACCATCCATGATGGATGTGGATGTTAGTACAGGCAGAGGATGTTAGCAACAACCCTCTGAAGTTATCATGTAATACTGTTGCACGGTGTTATCTTTAGAATTTACTGAAAGTGAGCAGGTCCTTTTTTTTTTCCCCTTGGAAATAGTAGTTGCTCTACAGCCTGCCATCACACTGATTTACTCTGAGGATTGTTACTTCAGAAAAAGGCTGCTGTCTTTATCCTTATTAAGGATACAAAAAACCCCAACCCCCCACCAAAAAAAACCCTCAAACCCGAGTAACATCAGAATTACACCTATCTACTTTGTAACGGTGTTCCATCTGTAATACTAAAACTATTATGTCCATTAAGAAAGATAAATTAAGAAAGTGTTTGTATGCAAAAAATGCAAAAAATAACAGCATGAAAAATGCCTTATGTATATCAAACTACACTACTTCTTGCTCATCTAATTAGAATTAAAAGAAAGTCGTTTGACTCCTTAAAATTCAGTCATCTGTGACCTTTTAAAATCAGTCAATAACAGCAGGGGAACAGTACATTATAACCACCCAGTTTGGGGACAATCGGCTTTTTAATTGTTCTTTTTATTGTTTGCAAATACTGGTGTCCTTTAATATTGAATTATGAATTCAACATGAGCAGCAACAACGGCTGCACAAAACCAACCTTTTCCTAAAGTAATCGAAAGGTGCGACTTAATTGCACGCCCTCTTTGGTCCTGGAGGCTTAAGCGAAATGGATAAACACTGCCAGTGATTACATGAACGAAATGGAATTGCGGTATTCCCACGGCGAACGTATATATTTGTACTTTTAACTGCAAATAGAAGGCTATGTCCGCGAAGCCATTAACACCTAGGGTAAGAAAGGCAAAAGGGAAGGCGTAGCGTCCCCGGAGGTGAATTAGCAGCATCGCTTATCTTCGGGCCGATGGGGATGGGACCCGCACGGCCGGGGACTGCCTCCGCGGCTCCCTTCGACACCTCCATCTATCAAACGAAGGGCAGAGCCAGCGTCTGCGGGGATGATAGGCCGAGGGGGGCACACCCATTTTGCCTGTCGGTGGGGCCCCACACGTCTCGTCGGAAACCTCTCCTCATCTCCTCGGTCTGCATGCTACCTCCCGTGGCATGCTTAACGCATACCTTCCGAAGGCAGCAGGCATCCACTTACTTTTGATAGCAGCGCGGAGCAAGGCTATTAATAGGCTATCTAATTACCCCGATCTACTAACTCTGAAATCTCTGATTCTGTGATGTGGTTGTTTTGATTTGATTTTCCAATCCAGTAGGGCTTCCATTTATAGAACTGGTCAGACTCGCTCTGGAAGATATTGTTTTAACGTTTAAAATCAACTTTCATTCCAAGCAGGAACAAAGTCCTCAAATTTTGGCATTTCTGACGAAAGCAACTAGTGAAAACATTATTAGTTCGGATGGAGGGAAGCGATTTGCTTAGCTAAGATTGCGAATGTCGTTTTTTGGAGTTTTATTATTATTATTATTCGGCACTAGGTCTCAGACATTTCCATCAGGCAGGTAAATGGCGAGAAAAGCGGTTTCAAAAAGAAAGGCGAGAGTCTGTCGCGATGCCAAGAGAAACGGAGCGGCCCCGCCGGATCTCAGCATGGACACGCATGAAACAGAACTACTCCCGAAAAATGCTTCCAGGAGGACGCATTCATTTTGTCCTGTGGAAAACATTTAACTGGAAGATTTTTATCTGTTCTGATTGTTCATTTTATTTCCTGGGCAGAGAAGTAAGAAGACAACTAAGGCAGGGGAGTGTTGTACGGCAGGTTTCGATGCATAAAACGATATTTCTTTCACGGCAGTGGCGACAACCGTCCAGGGAGCAGCTGGTGACGGTGGATTTTGCCTGTGTGGGGTGTGGGGGTTTTTTGTTTGGTTGGTTTTGTTTTTGGGGTTTTGGGGGGGGGTTGGGGTTTTTTTGGGGTTTTTGTTTGTTTGTTTGTTTGTTTGTTTTGTTTTTTAAGTGAGAAAGAATGAAGTCTCTGCAACCTGTGCTGCGGGAATAGGGGTGGAGGTAGGATAGCTGATTGCAGATCGGATTTGAGATCGCCTAACATCCGTGATAGGGAACGGGGGAGGATGAAGTGAAGCCCGGCGCTGAAGCGCTGGGGAGGAGAAGCGCGGCTCCGCCATGCTCTGCATCCCTCCGTATCCCTCTCTCCCACAACAACTTCTCACAGCAAGAACATCCAGAAACTTTCCCCCGGGCTTTTCGTGTCAGATCCAGCAGAAGAGAGCCCTGAAAGCCTTCCCTAGCACCCAGGCAGGAAAAGACAGTGATCCAAGGGGTCCCCCATGGCTCCGGCCCGGGGAGCGCGCCGGGCTCCCACCCCGCGGCCCCGGGCGGCGGGGGCGGCGGCTCCCACCCTCCCGCTGCCCTGTCCCCTCGGCGAGGCGGTGGGACACAGGGTGGGGGCCTTTCCTTCTGACCTTGTCTCGAAACGGGTTCTTTCACCCGGGGCACCAGAAGGCAATCCACACACAGAGTCGAGGTACTTGATTTATCTCTACAGTTGCTGCAATTATTGTGTGTGTGTGTAGATATATATATATATATAGTATTCTTCACCACAAGGCATAAGTGCAACACAGGCCCAATGCTTTGTAGTAAGGGCATGGAGGTGCCCGTTGATAAAAGAGTCACAATTAGACCATTTTACTCACCGACCCTTAAAAACCTTTAAAACTGCCGAGGAGCAGTACAACTAATCCTTAACTCATTTTCGAAGTCCCCGTGTATGAGTTTGGAAAGAGACAAAGCGCATATGCGCCCATTGGACAGAAGCATCTAAGTCATAACTACGTTTTTTAGGGTGCTGCGTGGGTCTGCCTCCCAGCGACCCCGAGAGCTGGAGGGCATCGCCTTCGTCCTGTGCGCCCCAGCGGGGCTCAGCGTGCGGGTACTGCGGATCGCCGGCTCCAGGAGTCAGGTTACGCAGCAACAGGAGCCTCCTCCGCGCGTTTTGTTGATTTTAATATCTCTCTCCTTTTTTTTTTTTTTTAAAGGTTGAAATCATTAACCAGCCGGACCTCGAATACTGGAGGGCGGGCAAATAAAAAGAAGCTGTAGATCATTATTAAAAAAAACAAAACCAACACACACACACAAAACCCAACAAAAAACCAAAACCAACAACAACAAAACAAACCCAAAAAACAACACACACAAAGAAACCAACAACTCCCCCAGCCCCCCCCAAACAACAACAAAAACAACAACAACAAAAAAACCAACCCAAAACCAAAACAAATCGCAAAACCCACACGCTTGGGCACCTATTGCATAAATGTCCATGTGGGCTCTCTGCTGCCTGATGCTTATTTGAGCGTCAAGGGTTGAAAGACACCGTGGAAATCACCCAAAAGCACGCGGCACAAGGTCACAAGTGACGGGGAGGCTGCTTACTACAGTGGGGAATAACCTTCTGCCCCACTCCCCACCGCTGGGCACGGCTTCAACCCAGGGGAGAGCCGAACCACCGGGCAGGAGCGGGCAATGATCCTCGGAGCCTGGTCAGGGTGTCCTGTCCAGGGCCGGGGCAGCCGCGGCGCCCGGAGTCTGCTATCTGCGTCCAGCAAAAAAGGCTGGAGCTCAAGCCCGGCCTGTGAGCACCTGGCAGCCCTTCGCTAGGAGTTTCGGAGAAAGTAAAAAGAATCCCTCCTCACCCTTGAGAATTTGGGTGTTCCCCTTCCCCACGGGACACATCTATTGCAAAGGGCACGTTCGCTATGCCCGCCCCCGTCCTTGCTGTGCTGTGTACAGTACACTGCTGCTTTGGAGGTCAATTTGATTAACCACTACCCTGAGCTCCATAGGGCTGTCCCGCCCGGCCCGAGGTGGAGGTGATGGGTGATGTCAAAGGCCCCTATCCCTCTGAAATGCCTCTTTCCCGGCGGATGCGGATTGCCCCGCCGGCTTCAGCCGCGGTGCCAGCGGCGGGAGCGTGAGCCCTGCTCGGAGCGGCCGGCCGGCAGCTCCCCGCTGACCTGGGCGCGCCTGAGCGCTGCCGGTGCCCCGATCGATAAGTCCGCTTCAATGTCACAGCGGCTGCGGGATGGAAACACTCCGTATCGTGGGGTGGCCTTGATAAAAGTATATTTTAAGTAGTGCGGATAAGCGAAGGGGAGAAGAGAGGCGGAGAGGTGCCGGCACGTCGCCCGTAATAACCGCTGCGCTTATCAGCCCGGCCTAAACTCCCCAGCAGTTTCTAAAGTACATTAAGTTACATAAACACGTCTCGGAAAAGAACACACTCCAACCTGCGATAGTCACCGAGGTGACCCCTCGTACCGCCTCACACCCGAACCCGCCGGCCCCCCGCGGCCGCAGCACCGCGGGAGCATCGCGGCCTGACACGGCGGGCGATGCCCGCTGCTCCGGGGCGGCGGAGATGCGGCCGGACCGAGCCTGCCCCTCCTCCCTAGTGCATCCCTGCAAAGGGATCACGTTTGCAGAGACCCAGGAGTGGGGGAAGGAGCAACTGCTCTGCACGTGCACATGTCTGTCCTCCAACCCTTTTTTGGGAGGCTGAAGTGCCCACGAGGGAATTTGCCTTAATTGGATACGAAACTCTCTTTTTTTCCCCAATCTGCCTTCTTCCCTCTTTGGCCACAGCGATCAGGAGCGACGGTTACCTTGCTGGCACCACCTCCCCAGCGGTGTCTTCCCACAGCGAGCATCCCCCCGGCCGCAAAAATGCTCCCACACATGCACCCCCGGGTGCCTAACCCAGGCCCGGGGCAGGAGATACCTGAGAACCTCCCGGAGCTCCGGGGCGAAAGTTACGTCAGAAGAGTGGGATTTGGGAAAGGAGTGACGTAATGAAAAGTTAGGAACCGAAGACTATATCTGAGCGGTTCGAGAGCAAATCCGAAACGGAGAGGAAAGGGGTGACTGAAAACGGTTTCCCACGCTGGTCCCAGTTTAAGCCGGGTTTTCTTATCGTATCTGTCGGAGGAAATAAAATGAAACTTGTAACCCGGCTATAAGGTAAACAGGCTAATCGGCAGTAAAAAAAAGGAAAAAGAAAAAAAGAAAAAAACCCAAGGCGCCTGAAGTGTAAAACACGGGTCACTTTGGAGTCAGGGAAAGAGGCGCCCGCCTGGCCAGCGCGGCCGTTCTTCTTCACAGCCACCATCAACTTTCGGGCAGACACCCCCCGGCCCGGGCAGGTTCCCACTCCCCACTCTGGGGTTACATGGGTACCGGCATGTGCCGCTGGCTTGAAAAAACCCTCACGCTATTTCTCGCATTATATGCACCCTTACACGTGTTTGAAATACTCTCGGGTTTAAATGGAAAAGAGGTATCCAAATGACTGAAAGGAAATGCAGGGTTTAAAGCCGATAGCTCGGCGCTTTTCAGCACACAAATTTGCAGTGGCAGCACCCAAGCTGGGGAGCAGTGGCGTGGGCATCGATTCCCGCGTCTTCTCCTGCTCTTGTCGCACATTTGCAGGTAAAAACCATGGGAAAATATTTTACGTTGCAAGTTGGGATCGGAAAACGAGCCGGGCTCTGGCAGACAACGAATCCCTGCCCACGATTGCAAAAGCTTATTTTCTATTTAATATTGAACCCACTAAAATACACCTAAAATAAAAAGAAATCACTTCAACCTGACAGGGTGATCGATATTATTTAAGGATATTATTTAGAGACAACTGACAAGAAAGAAGTATAACCTTTAATCGTACAATTTAATAGAGAAACGGTTTATCGAGAAATTGATTGTTTTCCGACCAAACGTCTGCCGCGCTATACGACAAAAATTAACGCGCTTAATAAAACTTCCAAGTCACAATCGGTTCACCCACGCCGGCAAACCGGATGGCTACAGCCAGAGTTTTGCCGTACCCCCAGCACTGCAAATTCTTCACCTCCCGTTCACCTTGCCTGGAAAGACCGAAAGAAAAGCCGTGCCTACCCCAGGAACGGCAGCACCGCGCATCAGCAGGTTTGGGCTCGGTTTCTGTCGGGAGGGCTCATGCCTGCCGGCTGCCGAGAGCCGGGCTCTGCTCTAGTTCAGCCTTTAGCCGCCGATGACTCTCTGTACAAACTGATGATGACAGATATCCAACTGATAACCTCTGGTGAACGAAGTTATTTTAATTTCCAGTCCCTTTCCTGCTAAGTACCATATCAGTTTGTACACAGCTGAGATAAGAGGGCTGGGGGGGGGATAAGAAAGAAACGGAGGGAAAATGCCTACCGCCAGCTGCTGGGATGGACACATCCCACAGCTTGCTTTGGCTTCACCTGACGGTTGGGGCAACTCAAGGAGGAGCCACATTTTTTACCCTCGGATAGCTCTTATTTTAAGGAGCAAAAATAGGGAGATTTGGAGGAGGGAAACCTGGTTGCTTAGGGCGAGAGCCAAGCACACATCCTTCCGGGCCGCTGCCAGGGGATGCTCGCTGCGATGCCGGGAGGTGTGAAGAAAAAAAAAAA